AACTTTCAAGTGAATGACAGAACAATAAGAAAAGGTGGATTACGTGATGAGCTAATCCGTGCTGAAAAAGAAGGAGTTACTGCAATTGATTTATCAAAACTTGTTATCCGTTCTATTAAAGATGATTGTATTGGGCATATGAAAAAATTAACCTCTATCAATTTTAGTACAAATTCCATAAGAAGTTTACCAGAAAGTTTTGGTATATTAACTCAACTTAAAAAATTAAATTTGAGTGACAATAAATTTACTGAAATTCCAGCTTGTATATTTAAGCTGACAAATTTAGAGATTTTTGAAATGGAAAGAAATGAAATAACAGAAGTCACAGATGAGATTTTCCAATTAGAGAATCTGAGAAGATTAAATCTTTTTTCTAACAAAATCAGAAATGTACCAATTAGATTATGTTTTGATCTTAAAAAAATTCAATCAATTGATATTTCATGTAATAATATTCATGAATATCCTCAAGGGAAAGAAGGTATTGATCTTATTACTGACGCTGATATAAAAACTGGAGCACAACAAGGGTCTTTAGTTGCACAATACTTTGCCTCTTTAGATAAGAAACCACGTCAAAAGAAAGAAAAAACAGAAAAAAGACAAGAGAAAGAGAAAAAGAAGTCTAAAAAATAGTAGTGAAGAAGAGATGATATAGATTAAATTTTTTGATATTGTTAACTCTGTTTATCTTTTTATCTTTAATTTATCTTAACAGAAATTGGGATGGTTATTTGTACAATTGAAAATCTTGAGTTTCAATGTGAAATTAAAAAAGAAATAAACGAAACTAAATGTGAACAATTTGTATATTCATTTGGTCATCAAGAAGATGGAAATACATGTTGTATTATTTTTTGTGGTTGTTTGTTTCTTTTACGCCTATTAGAGGAAAAATAATGATAAATAGGGAGACCACATCTTGATATTGATTTAACTGAATTGAACAAAAGAATTAATGAGCCAATTGGAGATGTATTCATTGATCTTGTTGAAACAATAAATGAAGTAATTAATGAGCAAAGACATAAAGAAAAACAGTACAGAATTATCGATCATTTAGAAGTTATTGAAGGGATTCCATTTGTTGGATACCATACTAGGAAACACATCTTTGGAAGAATTTGGTTAAAAAACCATAAAGACATAAATAAAGTAAGGAAAATTTGTAATGAGATGGATATACATATATATGAAGCACACCTTAGCCCTGACATTATGTTTATGACTGATTTAGGACTAAGAACAATGACTTTTGTTCATTTTAATGCATTAATATCAGATCAAAGAAAAACTAAATGTAAACATGAATATTATATTGATTGTAAAGTATTAAATCTAAATGAATTTGCTTCAGAAACAAAAGATAAACTGAGAAATGGAAATCTTAGAGTATATTGGGGAACATCTCCTTTTATTAATTGTGAAGAAGGAGGAACTAAAACTGAATCATTTTCAGAGAATGATAAAATTCTTATTGATAAATGGATAACTCAAATGAATTCTCAACGATATAATGACAATTTGTTTCTTGATATTAATAGACTTCAAAGACTAATAGAAAAATATAATTTGAGTCCAGGGAGAGGTATTAGAGAAACTACTCAATTTCAAACACAAATGATGACACAAATCAGTCAGATGAATATTAGTAAGATTTTTGAAAAGGAGATATACGATTTGAATGAAGAAACCGAGGTTGATGGTTTTAATGATGAGATTGAAGTTACACAAGAATTAATCAACAAAAATGAAAAACTTTCTAATCTTCAAATAAGTGAAAACGAAAAGAAGGAAATTATTTTTAAACAATCAAGTGAGGATGATAGCAAAATGGAATGTGAAGAACAAGATGAGGTTAATGGGTTTGGTGATTTAGAAATGGAGTCAGATGATTCTATAAAATTCCAACAAAATTCAAATGAAAGTATAGACTCTTCAGAGAGAATGGAAATCGAAGAAGTTGAAGTTGAGAGTAAAAATTCAAGGCTAGAGTTATTAAGTCAAATCCCATGTACTAACATTCAGATACAAAGAAATAATAATAAAATTTTCACTCAAACTTTACAAAATGAGGGGCATATTTTTCTTGATGAAAACAAAAGTATAGAAGAATCAATTCAACAAGGAAATAAAACATTTCAAATAAATTTATTAGATAAAAGTAGTAGATTAGTAAATAAAAAAGTTTTATTTAAAGGAAATGAAACAAATCCATCAGATAAATTAGAAATAAATTATAAGATAAATGAAAATATTATTGTCTTTGATACTCCACCAAGTTTATTAGAAATAAAACAAGAAATAAAATGTCATAAAATAAATATATGTCATGAAGGTATTATTATTCCAAAAATAAATGAAATAAAAGAATTAAGTTATCCAATTCATTGTGCTTGTACAATCCCGCCACCATCATTTATAGATGTAGTTCAAAGTTTAACAATTCAAAACAATGAAACTGAATATATTGTAAATCAAGAAAAGAAATTAAATGATCCTTATTCATACTTTATGATAAGTAGAATTAATAATCCTTTAATAAGTAAGAAAAGTTGTATAATTTGTATTCAATTATTATTTCACCGAATTGATGAATCAACAGGAAAATATCAAAATTCTAAACATGACGCTATTGAAGGGATAGTTGTATATCAGTCATTTAGAGATAAAACTTTATTTTATCTTATTCACACTGATTTAGAAGCTATTACATATCTTCATAAAACTTATAAAACACTTAACACAATTGATATTATTTGTAATAATGAATTATCTCTTATCATTTCATTAATTAAAATAATCAATGATGAAGATGCAGATATGATAATAGCAGAAGATTGCTCATTTACTCTTCAATTCATTAATGAAAGGTATAAACTTTATAAACAAGGAAGTTTTAATGATAAAATTAATAGATTACAAAATGGAAAAGGGGTAAAAGGAAGGTTAGTATTAAATATATGGCATATTTATAAGGAATGTAGTAAATTTTCCAATTATGAAACTGATTATATTGCTAAGCAAGTATTTAATGTATCATTACCAAATGTTAATTATTTGTGTTATAATGCATCAGAACAATTATTAAGTTCCTTTTTAAGGTTTCATTGTTGTTTGTTATTATTAGATTATTTTGATTATATAAACCGAATTCAAGAATTTGCACAATTCCATGCTTGTCCTCTTAAAGGAGAGATAGAACGAGGTTCACAATATAAGGTTGAGTGTTGTTTAAAAAGGGTAAGTAAGAATGAATTTAAGTTATTTTCACCTAGTGATAATCAACTGAGTTCTAGTAGAGCAACAGACTGTGTTGCATTAGTAATGGAACCACAGTCTGGGTTTCATAGTAATCCTGTTATAGTATTAGATTTTCTTTCTATGTACCCAACAACAGCAATAGCTTATAATATATGTTATTCTACATGTCTAGGATATGTAGATGATATTAACATTGAAAGAAAAATTGGACCAATGACATATTCTTTTGAAAAAGAAAACTTAAATACTCTTAAGGGAAATATTCATGTTGTAGCTAATGGAATAATGTTTGTAAATGCATGTCTTAGAAAAGGGATATTACCTATTATGCTTGAAGAAATGTTATCAACAAGACAACACATTAAAGAAATAATGAAGGTGTTTACAAAAGGAACTGAAGAATATAAAAAATGTTTTCTTCAACAATTAGCACTAAAATTGTTATGTAATGTAGTTTATGGATATACAGGTGCTGGGCTATCTGGGAGAATGCCTTGTAATGAAATTGCAGATGCCATTGTTGAAACAGCTCGTCAAACATTAGAAAAAGCAATTAATTTTGCTGAAAGAAAGTTTGGAGGAAAAGTGATATACTCAGACACTGATAGTTTGTTTGTAGAAATGGAAGGTAAAACATTAGAAGAATCTTTTGAAGTTGGGAAACACTTATGTGAAGAATTTAATAAAACTATTCCACCTCCAATGAAACTTCAATTAGAAAAAGTGTATTGGCCCCTTGTTACTGTCACGAAAAAAAGATACTTTGGAATGAAGTATGAAAAATATGAAACAAAACCAATTTTAGAAGCTAAAGGTCTTGAAGCAGTAAGAAGAGACAGTTGTGGGGTTGTAAGAGGGATGATGTCGTCTGTGATGAATTATTTATTAAATAAAGATATTGAAGGAATGAAACAATACTTAGAAACTAACTGGGAAATGATCCAAAAAGGAGAAGGATTTATTGATGATTTTGTTATTAGTAGACCATATAGGAGGCATTATGCTGAAGGAAGACAACCACCAATTGGAGCAAAAGTCATTTTAAAAGAAAGAGAAAGAGATAATACTTTCTATTTTCAATATGGACAAAGAATTAAATATGTTGTTGTTAGAACATCATCTGGAAAATTATGTGATAGTGCTGTGAGTCCACAATTTGCTGCATCAGAACAAATGGTTATTGACAGTGATTATTATATTAATAAACAAATTAACAATTCATTACAAAGAATTTTATTACCTTGTGGTATTGATATTAATAAATGGTATAATACTTCATTAACCAGAATCCTTTTTGAAGGAAGAAAAGATAAGAAAATAAGAATAGAAGATTATTACTTAATCCATAAATGTATTCGATGTAATAAAAAAATTATAGGAGAAAGTTATTTATGTAAAGCATGTTCATATGATAAAAGAGTTGTAATTGCTGAATATCAATTGCACATCAAAGAGATAGAACAAAGACTAATAGATATGAAAAAGAGGTGTTTGTATTGTCAATTACAATATCCTTTTGAATGTGTATCAACACAATGTCCCATTTCATTTAAAATTATCAAGGAAGAAACTGAATATAGAAACTTTCTCAAAGAGGTAATTAAGAAGAATAAAACAACTATGGTTAATAATTATGAAATAGAACAAGGTGTGATTATATAATAATTGTATTTCATTTGGTTTTTTCTTTTTTTAATAAATAAGAACTATAAACTAATAAAATAATATTTAAGATGAAACAAGAGATATGGTTTTATGGGATGTTTATTGTTCAATTAACACTTGACATTGCCTTCTTTCTGACATGTAAATGGGCTTGGACATTAAATCTTTATCTTGACTCATTTGCAGATAATTATTTTGCAGATCATGTATGTGTTTGGTATTTTGTTAGTGTAGGAATAGTCCTGTATTTAGTTTCATATTTCCACAGTGGAAATTTAATTTCTATGTATTCATTATCAATTAAACCAAGGTTTGTTTAGTTTGATTTAAAAAAAAATTAGATAATAAGTTTTGATTTGATAGTAAAAAAGAACAATACTTTTGTTATATTCATGGACCAACACTTGGAAGAATTTTCATTTCATTTGGATGCGTTTTATATTATCACTCATCATTTGGATTAGCATTATGGGGAGGATATATTGGAATAGCATTAATTGCATCTGTGATTATAGAAAACCAAATTTTATTACCACACATTCCATTAATGGACTATGGGTTAGTCTTTGGAAGAATAAGAATTCCAAAACCTTTAAAACAAGAACATCTTGATTGATTTTTCTTCTTTGTATTAAACTCATTTTTTTTACTTTAAATATATAAAGAATTTATTCAATTATTTAGTCATCCCTTTCTTCTGAATGTTTTGACTTTTTTTCAATACTCATTGCTGATTCATCTTCTTTTTTAATTTCAAGTAATTCTTGTTGTATAGAGTCATCTAATTCATCCATTTTATCAATAGTATTAGCAAGTGTAATATCATCATCATTCCATTTAGCATCAACCATTAATAACCCATCTCCATTGATTATTGGTAACAAATATTTATTACTTTCTATTTCTTCAAAGAAATTTACATTAAAATTTTTTACTTCTTCTATACTTATTTTATTCTTCCTGATAAAATTAATTAATTTAATGTAATTGTATTGATTTCCTTGTGCAATTTGGTAAAGTTCTTCAAATGAAATATGGTGTCTTTCGTTCATATGTTTTAAAAGAAAATCAATATCAAGAAACTCTTTACAAAATAAACACGGTGTCCTAAATGAAGTTTCATCATTTCCATTATCCCAATCCCAGTCGTCACTATCACTACTCATTATTGTTTGTTTCTAATTATGAGTTGAATTTTAGGTTTTCATTTTTAATTTGTTTTAAATAACGAAATAATATATTGTTTTTAATGACTATTAATGTTATATGAAAGAAGATTTGAAAGATAATATACTTATAATAAAGAGTTAAATAAACACTTGATGGAAGATTTTCAATTTCAGTTAGGTGTTTCATTTTTATCTAAAAGAGTTTTTTTTGTAATGGACATTAGTTCTTTCTTAGAGAGACTAACAATATCAGAAAATCTAAAGAATTTTCAATAGAAAAAAAAGACTTGATTTATGTCTGTGGTTATTTAACTGAACGAGTAACGTTTTTATTAGTTTAAGTGATATATTATATTAGCTTGGTTTGTTAAATTAGTTTTTTTAGATTTCTTTTCTTTGAGTTTTAATTCAAAGTTCTTATTTAAGACTTGTTTACATATTCAGTTAAGTAGTGAGGAAAGTTCTATAAATTACTTTGTATTAGTGGTTATGTGATAACGAAATATTTCTTTAATGGAGCTTTTAATACAAACAGTTCCTTTGTGATATGCTTGAAACATTCTTTAGTTTGACTGAATTTTTTGAATACTATCAGTTGTTCATTCTACTTTATTCTTTGTATAAATATTTGGTATAACAGTTATTCTTCAAAATAATTTTAATCTAATTTGATTGTTTTTTTTTGATTTTGTTTCTTCTTTGATTAATAGAAAGAATTAAGTTGTGTCTTTTTCCCTCTTTTTTGTTTATTCAGGAGTATATTATTGGATATTTCGATTTAGTGTCAGAGCCTTAGTGGTATAATACGGTTAATCACTATCAGTTATGAAGTAAATTTCTTTGTTATTGTTTTGACAATAAGAATGGGTGCTATTTCTTTACAAAGAATATGATTCATTGATAATTTTTTGCTTCCTCTTTTCTGTTTTCAACTTCTAATTTTCTGATTTGGTTAAATGCATTAATTGGTGAAGAATAATTCCTTTTGTAATTTTAATACTTTTAGTATGTTTGTATGTGATTTATTTTTCTCCACGTCTTCCTTTTACTTCACTTTCAATCTTTTGTCCTTCTTTAATTTCTTCTTTACATTGAATATAACATGTTGCCATTCCATAAAAATTATTAATTTCTTTTGGTATTATCTCTCCTTTAATATTTCATTCAACTAGACATCCAATACTCTATTGAATAAGAATACATTCTATGATTTTTGAGACTTCTTTCTTTAATAAATTTATGTTCTTAGAAATAGCTAAAATTCCATTTCCAATTCTACCTATATTTCTTATTAACTCAATCTAACAACTTCTTCCTAATCCAACTCTGTGTAATGAACTCTTTTTTTTTAAAAGAGTGTAATATATTTAATGTAGTTATCTTATTATCGAGATACATATATTTAATTTTAATTCATTCAAATCAAATGTAGTTTATCTGCTATTTTAATGCTAAAATATTCGATACTTGCTGCTTTCTTTTTTTAAAAAAAAATACAGGTTAAGTGTTACATAGATTGTTTCTAGTAAATATTTAATACAATAAGTTTATTGTCTATGTCAGAGTAAAATTAAATAAAAGCCATATTAAAATTATTTATAAATAGATAAGAGCATTGAATTTGTTTTTCTTTAGAATGCTTTCAAAAAAAAAGAAAGATACTAAGTGATAATCGTTTGAATGTTTTGATAAGTCTTATAAAACAAAAAATTGTTGTTATTTTCTTCCAAATTTTTTGAAGACAACTCTCTATTCTTAATCTAAAAATATAAAATGAATGAAGATAACAATCTGGATTACATTAAAGTTATCTAACCAAAAAGTACTTAAAACTCAAACTTTAATAACTCTCATAAGAAAAAATTTAAGCAGATTCTTATAACTTTGACACTATAGCATATTCAATAATTATTTTAAGTTTAAATAAAATGAGATATTAGTAATTGAGAAAAGAATAGAATTCTTAATTAAGCAAAGATTCAAACGATATTCTTTTCTCATTGTTTTTTTTAGTTAATACAATCAAAAAGACATAATAATAAAGGGTTAATGGTGAATGCAGTATTTATTTATCATAAAACTAAATATAGATAACAAAGAATGTTTCAAAAAAGTAATAATATTAAGAATAAATAATAAAATTTTTAAAAAAAGAGGAATTTAGTAAAATGAAATTTTATAGAAACTTATTGAAATATGACTTTCAATTAAATTGTATTTATTGAATGTAAAAATCAATATAAAACACTTATTAAATTTTTCTATAAAAACAAAAATAAAACAAAGTGAAACAGATGACAAAATTAAACTTATACTACATCATTGCTCTTTCTATTATGGTAATCTTAATAATGGCAGAGGTCATAACAGTGTCTGTTTATGTCCCATTATTAACAAAGAAACAGAAACCAATTGTTAATAAATATGATACTGAAACTTTCATAATGGAAAGAGGTAGTAAAATTTCACAGTATCATTACAAAGGATATATTTACAATGATCTTACTAGTATTGTGTCTTTAGATAAATACAGTAGACGTGGAGTTATTCTTATTACACAACCACTGAAAAATTCTTTATCACGTAATTGTGAAGTAGATTTTTCATCCTTTAATAAAAGTCTTGACACAGTTGAAGGAACTGGTCCAGCGGTTATTAGAATGACTGTAGATTTTAAAGGCTATCCCAACCCTTCACTTCCATCTTGTCTAGGGAAGGATGCTATTGTCAATAAATCAGTAAATTGGGAAAATGTTCACGTCCAAGAAGCTGTACGTTCAGTGGCACAGACTTTCGTTGATAAATTTGATGGAGATCCTCGTATTTCTTTTATAGAAGTTGGATGGTTTGGGATGAATGGTATGTGGGATACTAATATACCAACAAACAAAACGTTTATAAATGAAATAAAGCAAATTATGATTAGTGCAAAGAAAACACCTGTTGTTTCTATTGTAGATTGTAACTCTTTTATAAACCCATTAGAAGGTGCATTATTTAGAACATTTGATGAAAACCTTGAATGTTTCAAAGGAATAGACTCACCATATTATGGACAAATAAAATATATGTATGTTGGTATCGAAACAACAAGTGTTCCACAAAAGACCCCTGACATTACACAAAGTGTTTATGAGGAAATGAAATCAAAATATCTCACTGCAATTCAAGACCTTAGATTGAGTTATGTTTATACTACAAAGCAATTAAGAACTTTAGGTGATACTGAACTAGAAGCTATTAAAGTTATGGGTCCAAATATTTATCTTGCCACTTCTCAACACACTTATGACACTGTAACTAAAAACCTTAATATTACTGTTGTTGTAGGAAATAATGGAACATCAAGTATTCTTCAAAACTTACATTTCTTCTTTGGATTTGGAAAAGTAATAAATACAAAAATGATAGAGAGTACTTCTATAAGTGTTATTCGATATAACGAATGTAGTGAATGTAATATTAAATCAATTAAACCTGGAGAAACAAAAAAATGGACTTTTGTATTAAAAGAAGTACCACAAGAAAAGTATGAGGATGAAGATTCATTTCCAATGGTGAGTTGTTTTATGTATTTACCATCATCTTCAACAGATAGAATTAATAAAATTCCTCATTTTGTTAATTTTGATAATGCCAGAATGAATAAATATGGATGGCTCTTGTTACCATCATGGAATTCACCTGACGCTAAATATCTGTGATTGGTATTGAAAAAAATAAAAAAGTTAATTTAAATGTTATTTTCATAATTATTAAATATAATTTGGTGATTTTGTCAATTCACACTCCGCCAGTAATTGGTTTGAATTGGAATATAATTTTATTGTGTAATGTTCATTTGGTGTATAAGAATATTTTAATGCAATTGTTAAATTTCCTTGTTCTGCAAAGGCACGTGCTAAAGGTTTTAAAGTATCGGTAATATATAATCCAGCCCATACTTTATAATGGTTGTTTGTGAAAGAGACATTAATATAATCAACTGACCTATATTTCATTAGACATTAAATATAAAAATAAGAAAAATATAACAAACATTCTTTGAGCATGAACTGTTGGTATAGGTAAAGTGAATGGAGAAGAAAACCCAGACGGGGCTGTGGTGTTTGCTATTGAGGAACAATTTTTAAAATATCTAAATTCAAATTTACGAGAAGTTAGTTCTTTATCACCAATCATTGCATCTAATTCTAATTCTGAAAGATCAAATGAAATTTTGTTTTTGGTTGTTGATACAGTTTGTTTTGTTAGATATGATTTCATTGATTGTGTTCCACAAGTAAATAATCCAATTACATCTTCTGAAGAACAAATATTATCATAAAATACATGGACTAAATAAGGAATATGTTCATCAAATTGCGCCTTGATATTTACTACATCACCTATACAAATCTTATTAGAGACACAAATTAATTTATATTTATTTCCAAGTAATAAAACAGAATCATCTTTAAATAATCTAACTTCATACATCCCATCAGGTAATGGGTCAAAAGAAATAATTGACTCTTGTTTTTTACTGTCTATAAATTTGTATTGACAATATTGATTATTAAATTGTCTCATTACAACAAATATACCAGCCCAGAGCCTCTTGTTTAAGTCTTCGTCAGAAAGTTCAATTTTACAATGAACACCATGTGATCCTTTGCCAATTGAAGCAATGATGTTAGTACTCTTTTTTTCCATTATTAAATGACTTTTTTAGTTTTTTTTACTTTTTTATTCCTCTTTTAATCAACAGAAATATTTCAAATCTTGTTTACCTCCAAACTTAATACCAAAATAATATAAAACCCACCATTTACTTTCTATTCTTTTGATTATTCAATAAAGTTATTCATTACATAAAAGGAAAAAACAAAAAAAAGTTATTTTGAGGTATCAATCATAAGATATTAGTCACAAAAAACATCAAAAAAGGAAAAAATAGAATAGGAACTGAAAAAAGAATAGTTTTGTCTTTTACTCATAAAAATGACTATGACACAACGTCAAAAAATAATTGAAGAAATCTACACTACTGAAGAGTTTTATATTCAATCGATGGAGTATTGTTTAAATTTCTTTTGTAAAGTAATGAAAAATGAAAAAAATCAATCAATTATTCCATTAGAAGACGTTGATATTATCTTTGAGCATTATGACGAAGTACTAAATATAAACAAAAAATTCTTTTTAGCTTTAAAAAAATTAAGGGAAACTCACCAAATAGAAACTCGTCTTGGTCAAATTTTTAAATTATTTACCCCTTTTTTTAAGGTGTATTTTCTTTATATATCTCATTATGATGATTCAAATCAAGTTTTAACAGAATACGAGAGGAACCCAAAGTTTAACGAATTATTAACTTCATTACAAACACAAATTCCAACAACAACTAATCTTGATTTAAGAAGGTTTGTTTTTAAAATATATTTTAATTAATGAATCAATACAAATAACTGTTACTTACTTATTATTAGTTATCTTATCATGCCTGTTCAAAGGTTACCTAGGTATGAACTTTTACTTAAAGATTTATTGAAAAATACAAAACCTGATCATCCTGATTATGTTGCACTTACTGAATCCCTTGATGGAATTAGAGCTGTTACTATGGAAGTTAATGAACGTACAAAAGATATTGATAGAAGAGCTAAAGTAATTAAAGTGAATACAATGCTCTCCGGATTACATGACCTTCAATTAGTAGACCCAGATAGAGCATTAGTTATGGAAGGACAAATGATTAAAGTGTGTAAGAAAAGTAATAAACCTCGTTACTTTTACTTATTTAATGATGTTATGGTCTATGGAATTGGACATCAACGAATTACTGTAAGTGGATGGTTTTATCTAAAGAATGTATATTTAGAAAACGATTCTCGTTTTGAAAATAGTTTTAAAATCAATAATGATAAAAAGAGTTTTTCTGTAATCTGTGAAACTCCTAAACAAAAGAAAGATTGGTGTGATGCTTTGACAAAATATTCTGAATTACAACGAAAAAATTCAGCTATAGAAGACACTACTCAACCAAAAACTACACCTATTCTGGATAATGAAATAAAGAATTGTTTATTATGCCATCAGCCATTTACCCTTGTTAATAGAAAACATCACTGTAGGTTGTGTGGAAGATGTGTTTGTAGTAACTGCAGTAAAGCAAAGATTCCATTGAATTCAAAAGGAGAAATAGACCGTGTTTGTAATTTATGTTTCAGTAAGGCAACAGGTAAAAAATTGGACAATGGACTTATTAAGAAAAAGAAAACAATTAGAGGAGAAAGTAAAAGAAGTAATTCAGTTGGTAATCCAGAAGAAATATTTGATGGACTTAGTGTTATTCTCAATCCAGATATTCAAAGAACTCAAACAGCAAATATTTTACCTAATGTTGAAAAGAGTAAAAGTCCATCTGGAAGAAGGAGTACAGGCAGAAAAGAAAAGTTAAAAAATCAAAAAAAGGTTGAAAGTATGAATGATTTAACTTTTTATCAAATCATGGAAGGTATATCTTCATCTTCAGATCCTTCAATAAAGACTTCTGGTCATAAAAGTGGTTCAAGTAATAGTCTTGTGTATTTTGATTTTGTACAACAAGACCAACCCAATCAAACTTCTATCAATGATCAGTTCTCTGATCTTGGGATTGTTAATTTTCCTAAAAAGTATAAAGATAATAATGATGTTACTATTAAAAAACAACCTGAAATCCCTCAACAAACTTGGATTCAACCAATAACAAGTAGTCAATATCGAGACGCATTTGATTCATTTGATTTTTATAATAAGAATGATTTTATTGGATTTCAAAGTCAACCTGTTAATAAACAAAACAAAGGAGATGAAAAGAAAGACATATTTAATGGATTAATAAATATTCCAGTTACTTATTCAGGAACAAGTTATCAAAACTCTTCAATAAATCCTGGCTATTTCAAGAAAGAATTAGGAATTCCATCAAAACCATTTAGACAAAATGAAATAAATACTACAACTATGAAACAAATGACTAGTAGTAAAGAAATTAAAAAAGAACAACAAAAACCACCAATCCCCATTTGTATCACAAAGTCTTCTCAAAACAATTCAAATAGTAATCCTAAAAAAGATAATGTATTAAATGAGTTAGAGGCATTAATGGATGATTATTTTAAATCTAAAACTCAATTAAATTCTAATCAAAAAATAAATGAACCAACTTTTGATGGAATAAAAGGAATAACTACAGTTAGTAGTTCACATTAAATTGTTTAATGACTTATTTATTTGGAACTCTTTAGTTATTCTAGTTCAAAGGAAGATTTTGTGTTATTATTGAAATTTGTTTGAGACTATTTCTTTTAAATCAAACACCCTTTCTTTTTTTTTTATATCTTCTTTAGACATCTCATTTCTATTAAGAACTTCTTTTTGAATGATTACAGATAGCCAAAAAATGAAAATTTAATAATTTGTAATGTTTCTTTTAAAAAAAGTTCTTTTATTCAATTTTTATATTTTAACTTCACAATATATAAAAAGAATTTTATGAATTAATATTTTTTCTAATAATAGTTTAAGAAAATAATTTAATTATCCCAATACTTGCTTAACCATTGATCAACTTTAGTTAAGTCAACCTCTTCTGCAATTTCTTTTAATTTTGGAATCTGTTCAGTTTGGTCCAAATTAATAACACACCCCAATGGTGGATCAAATCTTAACCATCTATCACCAAGAAACATTCTACCAGATTTGATAGTCCAACTTCTAGTGGCATACATAAAAGTATCACTAATTTGTGTTGCCCATTGCATAATTCCTCCTTTACCAATTTTATTACTATCAATATAAAATGGGTCTGGCTTTCCTGCTGATAACGAGAAACAAACAACTTTTTTTGGATCTAATTGAAGACCTTCTTCACCAAATAAAAATGACCAACAAAGTCCAATTGGAGTATTATTGAGCATACCTCCATCTACAAAATTTTGATATGGTTGAAAGTATGTTGGAGCAGAAGAAGAGCGTAAACAAATATCACTTAATTTCTCTTCTTCAAATCCTTTTTGGAGATTAGTAAAACAAAAAGATTCACATGACCGATTTGGTTCTTGTTCTTCAGAATCAATTCTAAAAGTATCTACAAGATATTTACATTGAATGTCTTTAACTTTAGTTTCTTTAAATATATGTTCTAATATATATTTCAATTTATCATTACGATATTTTGGTTGATTAATTGCAATTGTTGGTTTAACAAATACTTCTTGAGAAATGATACTAAGTAAATCACTACAATTTCGTGGTGTTATTCCAATAGCTAACATAGAAACTAATATCGATCCTACAGAACATCCACAAACTAAATCAATATTTTTTAAAAATTGTGGATGTTTTTCAAGAATACGAGCAAGAATAATACATTCTAAAACTCCTTTAATTCCACCTCCATCAATTGATAATACTCTAAATGTTTTATTTATATCAATACATGTTCTAGAATCAAACATTTCTTTTGCTCTTTCTCGGTTTAATATTTCATCTAATTTTTCATTTAAACTTGTTTTCTTTTTACGTAATTCTGCTAACGATGCTTTTAATTCATTTACCTTTTGTTCCATTACCATTTTACCTTTATAAGTTGCTCCTTCTAATTTTGTTTTCATTAATGCAGTTAATGACTCTTCATTCTCTTTATTCTCTTCGTTTATATCTTCAACTGTTTTAGACTCTTCTTTTAATATATCCCACATTAAAAAATTTCCTTCTTCTAATGCAATAAGTGCAGGTGTCATTCCATTCTTATTTTGTTTTGTTTTTGATGCTCCTAATTTTAGTAATAATATTGCTAATTCATAATCTTGGGTTCGTGCTATACAATGAAGAGGAGTATCACCACTTTCATTACTATCTTCTAAAGCCAATGGGTTTTGATTAACAACATACTTTAAGAATTTATCTTTTTTAGGAATTGTTGATTGACAAATATAATGAACAATATTATTCCCATTTTGTGTTTTAATCGATAAATTACTTTTCTTTGCAACTATTTTGCATTGACTACTTCCATTCTTAATTGCAATAAGTAATGGCGTTTCTCCTGTAGAATTAGTATATTTAAGCCAATCTGATCTCTCTTCACAAATAAAATTAATAATTTTTTCTTTTTTTTCTTTAAAAATAAAGAATAAAATGGATTTCAGAATTTCAGTCGGTTCTTTCCAGTCTTTGATCATTTTTATAGCTTCTGTTTGGTTAGTATTAATTAAATAAATTATGTCTTCAACTTTTGCTCCGTCAATGGACATAACAAAATAAGTTCTTTTTTAGAATGAATTTGTATTTTCAACTAAATTAATCAAATCAGAAAATGGTGGCTGAAAGCAGAAATATTTTGTTTGTGTTTTCTTTATAACAAATTTCCTCTTACATCAAAAAGAGAAGTTAAAATAAACCCTAAAGGGTTTGAATAAAAAGGAAGAAAAAAGTAAAAAAACTGATTATAAAAAAGTGAACTCAAAAATCTGAAATGAGTGATATTCCTGTTCAAAAGACAAATGAACCAAAACTAACACTAAAAGAGATTATTAAACAAAGGTATTCAAAAACTGGAAAGAAAACAAATGACCTTTTTGGTGTTGTTTATCAAGCAAAAGATGAAAAGAAAGCTATTCCAGTTTCAATCAAATTATATCAACAATGTGAAGAAGACATTGATGGGATACAATCTAATTGTCTTCGAGAGATTGCTATATTAAAAAAATTAAATCATAACAATATTATAAAAATGATTGACTATTATTATGGTATCGAAGGATGTTATATAGTATTTGAATCATGTGATAGAAATTTAGAAGAATATATTAAAACTTTTGCAGGAGAATTATCTCTTAATACCGTTCAACTAATATCCAAACAATTACTCGAAGCAGTTGAATATTTACATTCACATAGGATATTACATCGTGATATCCGACCATCTAATATTATTCTCTCACTTTCTAGGACAATAAAACTTACTAACTTCTCTCTTTCTAGACAAGTAACAATCCCAATAAGAAAATATACACAAGAAGTAGTAAATATATGGTACAGAGCTCCAGAAATTATATTAAGTGATCATGGGTATGGAACAGGTGTAGACATATGGTCTGTTGGATGTGTTATTGCAGAACTAATCAATTCTAAACCATTATTTTCTGGTGATTGTAAAATTGGTCAACTCTTTCAAATTTTTCAAATATTTGGTACTCCTACAGAAGAGTCTTGGCCTGGAGTTACTAAAATGGTTAATTGGAGTAATCGTTTTCCAAAGTTTAAAGGAAAACAACTTCATAGTGTATGTAGTAGGATTGGAGATCAAGGAATTGATTTATTAAATAAAATGTTATGTTGTTATCCAAATAAACGAATTGATGCTAAAGAAGCATTAAAACATCCTTTTATTAGTTTTTATAATTGATTAGTTTGAATTATATTAAAAATACTCAACACGTTAATAAAAACCAATAACGTTAGTTCTAAAGAAAAATCAATGCATTTAGTTATTCATTCAAGCTCAAAAAACGACGCTAGCTCTTGAGATAAACAGATTTCTGGATGAAGACAAATATCAGAAAAATATATTTGAAAATCAATCATGCGTTGTTCTTGTGTTGGTCTCTTAAAGTACACGGTTGCTGGTGGAAAAGATGGGATTAGACTACCAAACTTCTTAACTAATTCTTCATTAAATTTAAAAAGTCTATTATATCTTCTTAATACTTGTTTTCTTTTAACTCCATTTATAAACAACTCAATTTGATAATAATCTACATTTTCTATTTGAGTGAATTGAGTAACTTTAATATCAAAACCAAGAACAGAATTCATGATAATATTAATATTTATAAAATACTTTTCAAAGATCTTAAAATTAAAAAGTAATAAAAAAAAAAGTTAAATTTTGAATTAATTTTGAGGGACATTAGCAAGGACTTGAGCAATGAATTTAAGTTCATTGTGTCTTGCTTTCTTTAATTCTGGAACATCAGTCTCTTTTTCTGAATAAAGATCAGAACAATGAGATGTTCTGTCGATTAATTGTACTAAATTACCTTCTTGATGGTCAGATTCAGTAACTCCAAGAGCGTGCCAAGGATCAGTGTTACCATTAGTAAAAGCAACATTAGTTACACATGGTTTCTTTCCTCCATATCTAACATTGATATGATCAACTGCATTATATAAAGTATCTTTATCAATACCATAAATATCTTTACACATATCAATACTTCCTTGAAGTTGATTTAATTTACCCCATTTGACTGATGACTGTTCACTAACAGCTTGATAATATCCATAAGCAATACATGTTTGGAAAAACCATGATCTACCAGCAGCACCTTCATTTCCTTCAGCATAAGTAGAAGTACTTTGTAATGTTTTATAACTTTCTTCTTGAGAAGATGAAGTACATTCTTTATCACCCCATTCTGGATTATATTTCTCTTTAATAAATAATGGGTATTTATTAACAACATCTTCATTAATTTCAGTACAAATTGAATCAGTACTTTCATATGAAGATTTCCAATTTGAAGAATTATACTGAACATAACCAGAAAGAGCTGTTCCAATAGATTCTGCAAATGTTTGAATATCTTTTTCACCAAATTCAGTACAAGTATTGAAAATCTTTCCTAATTCTTTTCTTCCTTCTTCAGTAGTAGTCATTTCATCCCATTTTTCAAATGCAAATGATAATAAATCTGCAGTGTTTTTAGGAAGTGCATTTTGTACAACTTCAAGATATTGATAAAAATCAACTACAGCTTCTACTGGAGCAGATGATGCCCATGCCCCTTCTACAACATTAGGATATTTTTGTCTCATCCAAGCAGCTAAATTACCACTATATGATCCACCAAGAACAATAACTGGATGTCCAACTAAATTATTTTCTTCTTGAACATGTGAAATAACTTCAACATAATCCATTAATGCTTGTTCTGCAGTACAATAAATTAATTTATCCATTTCAAGTGATGGAGTTGAAGCACCATAAAAACGATGTTCAACAGATAACATTAATCCTTTGTGTTTTTTAGCCAATGAGTCAATAACGTAATTATTTTGTAATACTTTAGGAGAAGCAGGTCCTTCACCTCCTAATAAAACAAAGAGTGGTGCATTTGGGTCATTAGTATCAAGAAACTCTTTATTAACAAAGTAGTGAATATCAAAATCATTCTGATTATTAGCGTTGAAATGGTCCAATGGGACAGTATAAGTCATTGATTCAACCTCATTTAATTCTAATGTCATGAATGATTGAGATATCCGTTGCATTACTTTTTGGTTGAGTGAAAGTTTTGCATAACTGCAAATAACACATAAAGCAAGAAGTAACATTGTTTTATAATTGTTTAGTTCTTCTTCTGTTTTCTTCGTTTTTAATACTGAAAATTTTTTCTTAATGGAGTTTTCTTTTTATTATTAATTTATTATAATATAGTTTTAAAGTATAGTTTTAAGATCTTTAAAAGAACTAAAAATAAATATTAAGTGATATAAAACAATAATTAATGAAACATTTAGTGATCTTTTTGAAAGAATTGGATAAACCCATTACCGGGCTTGTAGGAACTCTGTGGAGATAATGAAAAAGAACTTGGTAATGAAGAAGGAAGACTTTCTTGTGCTTGAAGAGAGGGTTGAGGAGAAATGTCTCTATAAGGAGAACGACGAATAAATGAAATTTCTCTAGAAAGACTTCCACAGCGTAATTTAGAAATTTGTATTGGTCTAAATGGAGGTTCATTGACTTGAGGGCAAATGATTGGTTTAGAATCGTTTGGTTCCTGTATTTCTCCTACAGAAGAACATTTGAATTTAGTTTGGAGTGGTATCTCTGTTGTTGGAACAAAATCTTTTACACTAAATGAATGAGAACGAGTAGTTCTATTAACGTTTGATGGATAAATAGATGCAAGAATATCAGGAAATATTGAGTCAACAAGACCAATATCATTATTAAAAGAAGAGACAGAATAAACACCAATTGTCGCATGATCTAATTTACCTTTTAGTCCTTGTTTTCTAATTCGATTTTGATTCTGTGAATGAAACTCTCTTGCACCTTCAGTTTCTTTAATTATGAAATCATCCATAGATACTACAAATTCATTCAGATTTGCACTTGATTGAATTCTAGATGAAATAACAGTGTCAAGAATAACTTGAGTAGAAATATTTTCTTTTTGTAAATGAAGGTTATCAGAAAATCCATCACTTGTAACAATAATGATATCATGTAATTCTACATCAATAATTTTTAAATATGATCCTGTTAATTCTGGTAATAAATTAGGAGTATTACCAATTCTTCCACCACATTCTTGAGATGATTTAATAGGACGACACCATTTTTTATTAACACTAAATGTTCTACCAATAGCTGATTTATATATAAATGCTTCACAATCACCAACAGAAAGAATAAGAGTATATGGTTGAGTAGAAGTGACAGTAATAATAGTTAGTAATGTACATGTACCATTAGGTAATATTTTAGTATGGTGTTGTTGTATCTAAAGAATTAATGAAAAAATATTCAAAGAATTCTGAAAATATCTTTAAATTCTTAAGAAGTACACAAACCCGATCATGTGCTTGATATGTTGCACCAACTAATGCATTTGCAATTTCATGAAGTCTAACACATTTTGAAATTTCATTAAACATATAAGATAAAACACTTTCAACAGCTATATGAGCGGCACGTGCAGAAGTAACACCCCACCCACATCCATCTGCAACGACCATAACAGTACAATTTGTAAATCGTTCTATTCCAATACAATCACAATTTGGTTCTCCTTGTTTCACATTTTTAAAACAGGGATATGTACTAAATGAAGAAAGACTAAAGGATTGGTCATACCCAAGTACTTCTTGATAATCGTCAATAATATGTTTTGAAAAATTTCTTGTTGTAATGTTTTTGATTTCTATATTAGGGATATCTTTTAGAAATGGTTTAAATGTTTTATTAAATATTTTAGAAGAATTACCTTCCATTACTTGCGTTAAAAAGGAATAAAATGAATAAGGAGTTAATGAAAAATGAGATGTCAATTTTTTTTTGATTTTTTAATGAAAGAATGATTAAAAAATTAGTTTTGTTTCATTAGTTATTAACTCCCATTTTTCTACTCTATTTCATTTTATTTATTAGTCTTTTATAACAAATTTATTATTTTTTTTCTAGAATTTATGTGATACATTATTATTTTAGGTTTGTTTCCCATAGAAAATAAATACTAAAATAAAAAGGAATTTAATAAGATTAGAACAGTTCTTTGAGACTTATCAAAAACAATTAATTTATTATCGAGAGCAAATACTTCTCAACCATTAAACTCTTTGAATTTTCCTTTTTTTTTAATGACTAACACAAAATATTCTTTTTTCTTTGGATAACGAAAAAGGAAAGTTATAAACCATTTTATAAATTAATAAATCTCTCTTATAACATTATTTATCATCTTAATTCCTCTAAACCTAATCCTTAATTATTCTTTTTTTTAATTGTTATATCTTTATTAGTTAATTTGATTGATTTTTATGAATTTTATATTTTTATTCAACCATTAATTATCCACATATTTATATACATGAAATGAATCCATATATATTTTTGTAGAGGGTTATTCATAAATGTTAAAATAAAAATTTTTAGAATTATTATTATCTGTTGATAAATTGTGTTAGTGTTAAAAACTCTTCTTAACCAATCTCATTTAAAATAAAAAATAATAAATCAAAATTTTATAGATTTAATTATAAGGACTAGTTAATAAAGAGGAGTTGTTTATATATTATATTCATTTTCTTCATTGTTTTAATTTTTATAAAATTTTGAATTCCATTAAGTATGAAAAAAGATGATTTAAGAATTAATTAAAATATTTTATCTATTTTTATACTGTTTTTTTCTCATCAACTTTGGTTGTTTTTAATATTTATTTTAACATTAACAGGATTTTACTAGAATATTCAGTAAGTCTAATAAGTTAATCTTGTTTTAGTAACAAAAACCAAAGAAGATTTTCAGTGTTATGATAGCTAGTTCTTACTTATAACTTCTAAAATAGATATATTACTAATACTTTTTAAGAATAAACTAACAGTATTGTCAGGCTCTTTTATATAGTTATTTAGAACTTACATAAGATAGAGTTATTTTTCTTTTAAAAAAAAGATTGAAGAGAAATTATATCACAGATATTTACAAAAGAATTGATGTTATTTTTTGAACTAAGAATAAAATATGAATAATAAATAAAATAATAATTTATTAAAAGATATCGTTCTGGATAACTTTTTATTATCAATTGATAGAACCTGTAAATTTCATAATTTAATCAAATAGAAATTCTAATTAGTAGGTTCATCTTACTAACTAAGCCTTTATTAAAAATAACATTTTTAATTAACCAATACAGAAATAAATAATATGAATTTTATAATAACTTAATTATTGTTTAAATGAGTAGGCAAGTATTTTCTTTAAATTTTATAGCTTAAAATAATAGGTTAGTCATTACTTAATGGATATTCTTCTTAACAAACTCTTCTGTAGACATAAATTTTATTGACCAATACCTTAAATCTCTATTGATCATTATACCTTTTTTTTTTCTCCATTCGAAAGCTCTAATTTTATAATACACTTTTAATTAATAAGGAAATATTAAGTAATAGAAGTTAAGTTTCAATAATTCATAAAATTTGAATGAAAATTCTAGAATAAAAATAGATTTTGATTGAAATTTAAAATAAAAAGTTTAAGAGGATAACAATAATAACAATCTGTTAAATTTGACTAAGTTCTGAAAGGTATTGTTGAATCTCTTTATTAGGTGTAAAGACTAATGGTGTTTCTTTTGCTGTAAGAAGCATACTCATAATGTCTGATATTTTATATACTTTAATCATATTTAAAGAACCATCTTCATAGAAAGAAGGTAATTGAGAATATCTAATAATTTCTCCCATCCATAAAGCAGTAATAGGGATTTTAGGAGAAGGATGTTTTTCAAAATCTAATTTATAATTTTTATTATTTCCTGAAATAGAGAATAATTGTTCAAGTTCATTCCATTTATTTTTTGTAGAACGTTTCATTTCCTATTTATATTAACTTTTAATTTAAAATACAAAATAATAATAACAAACAATCCATCCTTGTGGTTTAGAAGTAGAATATTGAGTCAAAGAAGAAAAGATCATATAAGCAATGTTATAATCCCCATATTCAACACAATCAACAGCAACTTTAATAAAGAATGAAAAAATTTTTCTTTTAGGAGTATTTTTAACAGAACGGACTGTTAATGACTCAATTTTCTTTACTTTATTAATATAATTTTGAAGTGTTCTAAAATTTTTGGTAGTATAAAATTCACTACAATATACTGTTTTTAAAGCTTCATGATCATATATCATTAATTGAGCTGCAACAATTTTATGATGTATTTCATATAATGTAAGTTCTTTAATTTTATCAACATCTTTTAATTCAATTTGAATAAGACTTTGAATTCCAACTCTTCTTGGCATAGTAAATTGTTGATTTTTTTCTAAACCAATTTTACTTTTTATTACTGGTTTCATCTTTTCTAAATTTTCTGTGAATTTTTCAATAAATAATTCATCAAATAAATCAGACTGAAATAAACAACTATGAACTAAACTATCATAAACATTAGGAATAATTTCTTTAAATATTTTTATCCAACAAATAAGTAAACGTGTAAGTCTACTTTTTCTAAATGGAAATTGTGGATCTTTTTTACTCATTGTCTTTAAAAAAAAGTCATGAGTTTGGTATATATGTTCCAGAAATTCTTGAGCATTTAAATAGACAAAACATTGTAATAAAAAATATTCAGGACTTAGTAATGGTATATTAAAATAACTATTCCAATGAGCTTCTTTATCACAACTTAATAATATACCATCAGGAGAATAAACTATTCCAAATGATTTTTCATTGAAAAGTTCTTCTGTATAAGTAAAGAGCATATGCATAAAACGTCTACAATTTTGTGGATATGTGAGGTCTTCTTTAAATAGAAATGGAAGAAGTAAAGACCGTTTTTTATGAAGTCTTATAATAACATCAACTAAACGCCTTAACATTAGTCGTTTAGGTTTATTCAATCCCCAAACAAGAAGTTTAGTATTAACAAAATTTATAGTCGTGAAAAGATCGTTTCTAGTATAAAATCTAAGATTACTAAATTCCAACAACTCCAAGTATTCTTCATCAGTAACTCCTTCTACACTTTTGAGTAAATCATCAACAGAAATTGATCCTTTTTTATAATTTGCTGATAAGTGGCGAGGGCTGTTCTTAGATGAACCAACACTAATATGGACTTTTTCATTTAATGGTGTAAATACTCCACCATTATTAAGGGGTAAGTTATCGTAACTGTTGGACTTCATAAAGTGGGGTTTTAAACTTAGATTTTTTGATCATATTTATATTTAAATAAAAAGAAAATTATCGTCATGAGAATTGTTTTATTTCTTTTCTTCGAAAAGTATGAATGCACACAGTAATTCTAAATGATATTAATAATAAAATAAGATAGATAATATTAATTAATTTATTTAACTTATTTTCATAAAAGTAATTAACTATGAATAAATGCAAATTTTAAAGAATACTACCAAAAAGAGAAATCTTTTTTTGGTAACAACGTTATTATTTGAAAAAATAGGTTTATTTTCTCACAAAAAAGAAACGAAAAATAAAAAAAAAATAATAATAATTTTTAAATATTCTCTAGAATTTCTATTACTTAAATTATTTTCTGTTCTTTGTATATGTTTAAATAACTTATGTCTTAGAAAAAGTAACAATTCAGATAAATAACTTAATTTTACAATAACAGACATTTTCTTTTCTTATTTGTTGATTCATTATCATCACTAATGTTTATTTTATTCTCTCTACTTCTTTTAACAATCATTTGGAACGTTTCATCAACATTAATTCTTTTTTTAGCAGAAGTTTCATTGAATCCAATTCCTTTTTCTTGAGCAAAAGTTAATCCTTTTTCTTTTTGTACAGTACGTTCATTATTTAAATCAGTTTTATTTCCAACTAAAACCATTTGATGATAATGATCATCTTCTTTTGTTCTTAAAATTTTATCTACATACTTTTTTGCTGTTTCAAATGTTTTTTCTTCAACAATGCTATATACAATAAGGAAACTATTTGTTTGTCTGATATAAGGATCAATCATGGTTTGATATTCTTCTCTTCCAGCAGTGTCAAGAATATCTAAAACGCAAACCTTCCCATCAACATTAATAGTTTTTCTATAACAATTTTCTATTAATTTTATAAGTTTTTGAAACGATATAATTTAAAATAATAAACATTGAAATTTTTTTTTAATACTAAACTAAAACAAACCTACTGTTGGATCATATTCTTCTACAAATGTATTCATTGTAAATTGAATTGTTAATACTGACTTTCCTACACCACCATCTCCTAATACCATTACTCTAATCAACTCAACTTTATATTCTTCTGTCATTTAGTCTTTAAGATGAAGAACTAAAGTTCTTTTTATTTTTTAATGAAAAAAACAATAAAATAAGAAGAACAGTTGATTGGAACTTTAATTCTTTTTTACAACTTTCGATGCAATTTGATGATTTGGTGTTGTTGATTTGGGTACTTCTATTCCTAAAATTTTAAATCTACGATGCCTGTTCAATAAAAATGAATGATAATCATTTGAACATGATGATATGAATATTTCTTCTTTCATTGCTAAGTCAGAAGCTTGTTGTGGTTCATATCCAAGTTTACAAAGATGTTGGTTAACTAATTGATATGTTCTATAAAATTAGAAAAGTTGAATAATATATTGTTTAACAATAAACAAATACAAACCCTTGTCGATGAACAATTGGTACTTTAATGTCACAATTTTCTTTTATTATAATTCCTTTAAGAGGTATTGTTGATAGACCTTGTTGTGAATATGGATTTATTTGAAATAATCTTTTTCTTTCTTCTTCTTCCCATCGTTTTCTTTGGAGTGGTGTCATATTTTCTGGTTTTGGTAATGTAGGTGGAGTAACAGTTTCTTTACTCACCTCTTCTTGTTTAACTGATTTAATTTCTTCTTTAGGTTCATTTATACCTTGAGATTGAAATTCTTTTAATTTTTCTTCATATTTATCATCATATTCAGTTGCTATTTCTTCTTCATTACCTTCATTCATTGGAATAGAGTCTATTTGAAAATCATCAGTTGCACTTATTTCATTTGAAGAACCAATAACTTGTTCTTTTTGATTTGGTTGTGAGGACGGTTTTATTTCTTTTTCAACATTTCTTTCTGTTTCTGGTTGAAATAACCCACAACCATCTGATTCTGGCATTGTTGGTACTCCATTTTTATCAGTAAAAATATCATTAAAAGTAATATCATTCATTGTTTGTTTTTGTGGTTGTTGTACTTGTTGAACAGGAAGAGCGATATTTGTTGGTTTATTTTCTGTATTGGTTTTTGGAATAAATGAGTTTATTTTAACAGGGACGTAGGGTTGTATTTTCTTTGGTGTTTGATATTCCATTACAGGTCTTTGTTCTGTCCCTGTAAATTCAAATGAAAAGAATCTGTAATCATTCAGATATTGTGTGTTTCTTTTTGGTTGTGTAATATTATTATTTTGGTATTCTGTTTGTTGAGAATTCAGTGGAGTTTGATATTGATTCATAAATAATTTGATTTAAAAGTTGGAATTTTTTTTGAAATGAAAAAATAATTTCTAATAATATTTTTGTTTATTTGAAGATACCAAAATATTTATTCTATGAAATCTTATTTCATATTTGGCAAAATAAAAATTTAATTCATTATATTATCTTTTCAATCATTTAAATGATTTCGCTATTCTTTAAACAATAGTTTGACTAAATTTGTTATAAAACTACTGAAAAAACTTTTTTAAATATTTTTTAATTAGTGATATTAAAAAAAATGTCTCTTTTCATATATTCATTTGTTCTTAACCTTTCTTAAATTGTTCTTTTAATTAGTTAGTGAAGGGGATATATACTTGTAAAGCCTTAAATTAATTTAAAGTTCATATTCTTAAAAATTTATAAGAGTATAATAAAATTCTTAAATAAAAATTAATAATATTTTAATATAATAAAATTAAATTTTCCTCAATTCCTCTTCTTACATTAATAATTTTAATAAGTAATTTGTTTTTAGTTTTTGATTGTTTTTAAATATCTTATTTAAAAAATAAAAAACTAATAATTTAAGTTTCCTTGATATTTTATGAATAAAATATTTTAAAGTGTTCACTTTAAAGTATCAATTTTATTGTGTTTTATTTCATTTCTTTTGTTGAGAAATTATTATTATTACATGAACAAAGTGTTTGTTAACATTTTGCTTAGTCTTAATAATGACCTTAATAGATAAATTTCATTATGTTTGATTTAATAAATTAAAAAGAAAAAATACTTTTGATAACAAATTCATCCATTAAGCCTCTTGTTTTTGATTGAATTCATTTATTTTATTTATCATTTCAAGATTTAATTTATGTAATTCATCAAAATCTTTCTTAACATCAGTATATCCTAATTCTTCTACTCTACTTTGTGTTTTTTCAAATTTTTCTTGATTGAGAAGTGTGGTTGAGTTAAGTTCTCCTCGTTGAGTTTCTAATAAAACTAATGAATTAAACAAATTGTTCATTTTAGTTATTTGAGTGATTAACGAATGTTTTGTTTCTTCTTTATATTTTGTATTTTCTCTAATTAGTCTAATGAGACTGATATAATTCTCAGAGGTTTTGATTTTCAATTGAGTTAAATCAGATTTTATAGTATTTGTGTTGTTGAATATTTTTTCAAGTTCTTTATCTTGTTTCTTTAAAAATTTAGTCATACAAATAGTTCTATCAATATACGTTTGTCTTTGCATTCTTTTATCAAGCTTTGTATTGATTTCTTCTTTTTCTTTAATATCCTCATCTAGACTTTGGATTTCAAGAATAATAGCTTTTCCTTTTTGTCTTATTTGTTTAACTTCCTTTGCTTTTTGTTTTGTTTCTTCAATAATTAAGTCATTTTTCTTTTCATTTTCTTGGACTTCTTTCTTCATTTCATCTTCATAAAGAGTCCATTTTTGTTTAAGACCTTCTAACTTACTCATTTCACTTTGTTTAAGTTCTTCTAATTTTTCTATGTACTCATCTTTATCATTTGCATCAATGTCTTTAACTTTTTCTCTTATGACTTTTTGTCTCTCAAGTGACCTTTGTTTTCTCTTTAACTCTTCTTTTTCTTTTATCATTTCTTTTAATTCACTTTTGCCTTCACTGATATAGTCCTCTACTTTTTCAATTCTTGTTTTGATTTTTTGTAGTGTTTCTTCAACTTCTTGTCTTTCTTTAACTATGTCATCTAATTCACTCTCTAATCGAATCTTCTTTTCATTTTTACTTTCTTTTAATTCAACAGCAACCATAACATCATCACTATCTTCTTTTTCTTCATCACTATCTTCTTTTTTAATAATTTCTTTTCTTACTTGAATCTTTGCATTAATTTTCATTTCTGCTATAATATCATTTTGCTCTTCTACTTTCTTTTGTGAGATTTTTTGGAGGATTGAACTAACTCTTTTTCTTTGATTAATATCTTTTTGTCTTATTGGTGTTGGGGGAAGGATTCTTCTCTTTTTTTCACCATTTGTGTTATGAACAATATCATACAAAGTTTTGCTAATAGAGTTTCTGATTGACTTGTTTGTAGATAGATCGTCAGGAATATATTTCGTTAAAAAATTTAAAATATTTGTAACGTCTGTTGTTTTTGGATATAATATTTGATGATAACCAATAGACTCACTAAATCCCATCTCTTTAATAATCGATGCTTGCTTTGCACAAACACGTACTTTTTCTGAAGTTTGTTTAGGAATTGAATCAGTGAATATTCCATATTTTTGTTGGTCAATTAATTTAAGTATTTGTGTTGTTAAATTATAAAATACTCCACCACCACTAATTATTCCTTTTAGTGTATTAATTCCTTTTGGAATCACAACACCACAATTATGCAATGATCCAAATAATATTTCTTCAACTTCTTGCATAATAAAATAAAATTATTTTTTGTATAGTTTTTTTTTTATTTTAAGTTTATTAGAGATTGTTTCATAATTTTGATAAAATGAAAA